TTGTTGTTTAGTCGTTAAGTCATGTCTGACTCTTTGTGACCTCATGGACCAGAGCACGTGAGGCCCTCCTGTCTTCCACTGCTTCCCAGAGTTTGGTCAAATTTATGTTGGTAGCTTCGGTGACACTGTCCAACCATCTCATCCTCTGTTGTCCCTTTCTCCTCTTGCTTTCACATTTCCCCAACGTCAGTGAATAGCACTTTTCAAATTCATGAAAGGCTATCATACAGATGAGGGGCAGGATCTGTTCTCAAACATCCCAGAGTGCAGGACATGCAACAATCAAGTTACAGGAAGCCAGGTTTTGGTTGAATATCAGGAAAAATGTCCTAACTGTTAGAGCAGTACAGCAATGGAATAAATTACCTCAAGAGGCAGAGAGTGCTCCAACACTGGAGGCATTCAAGAAAAATTTAGACAACCACCTGGCAGATATCCTTTGATTTGTTTTCCAGCATTGATTGGGGGGGTGGTGGACCCGATGGCTGTATAGGCCCCTTCCAACTTCATTGTTCTATGATTCTATTTTAGGTGCATAAATGGTTCCACTGACTTTCTTTCTATCTGGGTTTTAACTTTCTTTCCATTATATATATTATATGGAAAGAGAGTTAAAACCCAGATAGAATATATATCTCCTTCTGAATACTGTTCCTTCAGAATTAAAGATTCTCACAGCTCTGCTGAAGGAAGTTGTCATGAGTTTCATTTTTACTATGGAGTTATGTTCAAGAGGAAATAAGACATAATGGTTATTGCAGCTTTACCAGAACTCATGAAGAACAATGAGAGGCTGAGGCTTGCTTCTAATGTGTTTGGACTTAAAAAAAAAATTCAACATGCTGTGTATGGTAAATGATTCCTGCTGTTAATCTAGTTGAATATAGTTTTCAATACTGCAAGATTTTCTCTCTCTCATGTTGGCAGGTTGCTGTTCAGCATTAGCATCTTCCTATTTATAGAGTCCACATCTTTTTTAATATACTGCTCAGAATGCTTATTCTCATGAAATGGCTTTGTGCCCATCTTTATCTGGCAGACAATGAATTTGTGAATGCTAAAATTCTTGTTAGATGACTTGTAAGATGACTTGTAACATTAACAGTGACTGTCTGCTCAATGTCACATCAACAGAAAACTCTTAGAATTTTTTTTTCTTGTCCAATGCATGAAGAATTCTGAAATGTCAGTGGGAGTCTCACACAGTTTGGATTACTGAAAACAAAGAATAAGCTGGACAAGGCAATACACAAATAATTGTGGTTACCAGTGTGTATGCAATGGAGAAACCTGTGAAATAGGTAAGCAAATTCGATGTAAGGAAACAACTATCATGCAATTTGCTCAAAATCCTCAGCTTTTTTCGAGAATTCAATAGACTGAAATTCCTGCTGAAATTTCCTATTTTATTTTCAGTCAAGTCTTTCTTTATGATGGCCAAAGACATTTCACATAAATAATTAAGCTCCATAACTATTTGAGAAGATTGTCACAGTTGGAACAGAATTTACTGAAATGTAAGATTTCTATAGCTGCAATTAAAAGGTATACTCTTCAACACTGACGGGCATGGGAACCTTTTCTGTAGTCCTTTGGTGCTTCTGTGAGCTACATGGATACATCCAGAAATCTGAACAAACTTTCTCAGTACCTTTTAAACACACCAGGCAAGTGTGAAATTCACCAAACTTTGTGAAATGTTTTTCTGTTTTTATTATAAATATAGTTGTGCCTCGCTTTACGATCACTAATGACGAAACTGCATTATGATGAACTTTTAGCGATCACTTTTGCGATCGCTTTACAATGTTTCCTATGGGGGAATTTTGCTTTGCGATGATCGGTTCCCTGCTTCGGGAACCGATTCTTCGCAATACGATGATTTTCGGACAGCTGATTGGCGGTTTCAAAATGGCAGCCGGGTAAACAAAATGGCCCCCCGCTGTTTTCTGGGATGGATTCCTCTCTGCACAGGCAGTGAAAATGGCCGCCCTATGGAGGATCTTCGCTGGACGGTGAGTTTCAAGCCCATAGGAACGCATTAATCGGGTTTTAATGTGTTTCTATGGGCTTTTAAATTTTGCTTTACGATGTTTTCGCTCTACAGGGATTTCGCTGGAATAAATTAACATCGTTAAGTGAGGTACACCATTGTACAAGTTTCCCATCAGCCATATCATACAGAGCAAGGATGAGCTTCTGCTGGAATTCCTCAGCTCTGTTAATGAGGTGGAGTGGAGTGTACACTTCCTTGAGTTGTTTTTTGTGCTTTTTCTTGTTCATCTGGAATGGGGTTAGAGTATGTGTGTGTGTGTGTTTTGATACTGCCTTGAAAGACATGGTTTTTCATCAAAATGCTGAAATTGCAACCTGCTCACATTAGAATTACTTTTAGCCTAAAAACATAATGGAAGTTCCAAGTTCAATGAAACCTTCATATCTGAAACTGCAAATTGTTGCCATAATGAACTGGTAGTATAAAGACCCCTCATGATGGCCTTGATCTCATCCTGTGCATTTCAATTTTTAAACCAGACACTGGGAAGAGATGTTCTGTTCCTCTGCCTCCCATTATTGAGGAGTTTTGCAACATCCCAACCACCTTCTTTTCAAAGGGCCTGATAATTCTGAAAGCCAATATCCAATATGGGATTGCTACTGTGGGAATGACAGATTCCAGCAAAATCTGATGTGAAGAATGGGACACCACACCCCCACTGCAGCCTATACATCCAAAAAAATTAGGTATGGAAAAGCTGGAAACTCTCTAGAGCTGGTTTTCAGACAATACAGAGTTCTGTAAGGAAGAAACCCAAGAAAGTTTCATGTCAGTTGCAAACAGAATGCTAGATTACAAGCATATTTAATACGAGTTTACTCGTGTTATTAAATATTATTATTAAGCATTATTTTAAAAATAATGTTAAACATTATCTTTTAAAAAAGCAAAGCATGTTGCTTATATACCACCCTATTCAAGCACTCTCTGGGCGGTTTACAAGTTAATTATGCAGGCTACACATTGGCCCACCCAGAGTGAGATGGGTATTCATGACCTCAGAAGGATAGAAGGCTCAACTTTGAGCCGGCTATCTGGGATTGAACCCCTGGTCATGAACACAGTTTTGGCTGCAGTACAGCAGTTTAATCAATGCACCATGAGGCTCTTATTAAGAACCCCTTTTGAACTGATAGCATCACCATGAGCTGAATTATCCTCCAAAAAAATTTATGCTGCTTCCTGTAGAGATAATTTCCCTCTTTTAGGGCAGTCTACCATTCACCAAGATGCATGCATTAATTCAGCAGCTATTTCTTCAACACAGTTGCATTTGACATAGTGTCTATGGTGATTAAGAATACTGTATCAAGGAATTTCCTACAGCAAGTGGTATCTTTTATTTCAACAGCAAGATGAGGGCACTGACAATTTCATACCTTCATTTGTCACAATGACACAACCTCATGGGAAAATGATGTTGCCTATCTTCAAACAGCACCTGCTCATGACACAATTTCCTAGTAATCTTGTTACTAGGGACTTCACAGCTCTAACATCTGGTGGCTGTTGGAGATTACAGAGATTCCTTCCCAAAGTAAGCCCCCCAAAACAGAAATGCATTTCAAGGATAACAATAGCTATAACAAGGATAACGTATTTAATTTGGGACAAATCCCACACAAAGCAGCAAGACTGAACATTTCAGATACAAATAAGTCTGTGGTACAGGGTGCAGAGTTTCAGACACATTTAAAATTGATCCATACTAATTCTACGATGAAAATCTTTATTAAATTAATAAAGATTATGAACAGTGTTAACAGCACAGAACCGAAAATGCAATCTACATAGACAAATACCTCCATTAATCCGTCAATACTTTTAACTCCAAGAATTATATTCTCACATAATGGTAATGGGTTCTTACATATAAACAAATTTGTCTTAACAATCCTTAGTGAGTAACGAAAGTCATGAGATCTGAAACTGTTTGAGGGCATTATGGACTATATATTTAAAGTGGGGTAGGTGGGGCTCGTCAGCCATGGAAGGCACCCCATCTAGGAGAAGGAAAACTCCGATTTCAAACCTCCACTGCCTTGTGGCTATATCCACTGGTGGAAAAGGCTTCAGGAGTTAACCTCGAGGCAAAATCCGGAGCTGGAGTCCCGAAGGCAGCTCGTGTCGTTCTGCCAACTCCTGCGACGTTGCTGGAACCAGTTGTATTGGCTCTTGCCTTTTCATTGGACCATTTCAGCAATGTGGAGAGGGGGGATCTGCTGCTTGGGTAGCAGCCTATCCTCCACATTACCTTACCCAGGCTTCATGCTCTGGAGAGGACACTCCTCGATTCAGAGCATGTTACCATAGTCTCTCGAGACTGAAGGATGCCTATGAGATTTAAAGTGAATGGGGTGTATATATATATATATCCAATCACCTCCCCCTCACTTGCTTCACCAGCCCAATCACCTCCCTCCCTTGCTGGCTCCCCCCCCAACCTGCCCAATTGCCCTTTTGCCCTCTCACTTACCATGTCCCATTGCTCACTCACCTGCCCACCCCTGATTCACCTGTCCCCATGCCTTCCCTCTTGTCCGCCTTCCCTTCTCTTTCTGTTCTCCCTGTCACCCCCTCCCTGTTGGCCCCACCTGATAGATGGAGGTGGCAGCACTGGTGTGACTTTAACCAAATGTTTAAAAAAAGAACTCTCTGCTGGTTTATTCCAGCAGTGGGAACAGGTCCTCGGCCTCATTAAATGCATCCATGTATGGTCAGAAGGTCTGAAGAAATCAGAACTTCATTTTGTAGAACAGAGAAACAGAGAGAGACGCCTTGTTATATAATTCTTGCCAAATAAATTCAACAACTGTATAACAATTCATACTCCCAGATGCCAACTCCTCCGAGCAGCATGCATGCATCACTGGAAAAAAAAAGAGTTTAGGACCCCAGCACACCAGGGCAACGGACACGTATCCACCAAACTGTATCTTACCCCTCAGAGCAGGAAGCAGGGACCTCTCCTTCTTGTCATCACATTTGTTACATTCACTGAAGTACAGGAGTAGGAAGACGTCCACAAGCACCCACATCAGAGATGTGGCAAGAACCACCTTGCAGTAGACAAATCTCCTCATGCTTTGTTTCGTTTTAGCAGCACAGTGCAGTAAAGGCAGGCACTGCTTTGACGGAGTATCAAAGCCAGAGATGCCAGCATGAACACAAAGATGAGAACATCCCCCTGAAAATTGAGAGAAGATGAGAATTAATTCACAAGCAAGCAGGTGTACAGGCAAAAAAGTGTGTGTGTGTGAATGTAATCTATTTCCCCGCTTTCCTTCCCAATAAATACATTTCCATAGAACACAAGAAAATAAGATCCCCAAACAGCTTGAGCTTTTCCAGTTGAAAAAAATGCAAACAAAACACAGAATCCATATGTATGTTGTATTTTTTGAACATTCCCATTTGCACTGTTTGCAAGAGGCATATATTTTTGAAGCAATAACAGATGTATATAAATATCTGCTCACTCAGAAAAACAGACAAAGAGTATGTAAGCTTAGGATCCAATGTGTTCTCAAGTGGAATGATTCGTTACAGTGACACCTAACTGTATTTCAGAGCACTTTCACCTGCTATAATTAAAAGTGCCAATCTGGAGGCACTTTCCCCCCCACACCTGCCAGAGTAACTCTTGCTGATTATGTCCTAGTGGGCAGATGTGCCATGACAGCAATAGAAAATTGTATGTTGGTTGGTTGTTTTTTTAATAACTCTTGCAACTTCTGATCATTTTTCTCTAGAAACACTGCTTTCTATTTAAAGCCACATGACTGAACCAATGTGGGATTGGTACAAGATTGTCATCAGACATCTAAAAAACATAGCTCCTTGTCAACAGGAGCTTATGTTTTAAGAAACAAACTAATATTATTAATTAATCTGTCATGTATGAACCAAACTCCTGTTGTATAGTTGAGTCATTCATACTACAGTGGCCCATTGAGTCAACTTCTTCATAAGTTGCACTGCTTCAAACACCAACAAACTGGAGCAAACTCAGATTAGAACAACAAGGTTGATAAGGTGATTGGGGGAAAAGCCCTTCAAGATAAGACTGTGAAGGCACTGGGCATGTTTAGTATAGAGAAATAAGGGGTATGGGGAGATACAACAGCACTTTTCAAATATTTGAAAGATTAGGGGCAGCATCTGTTCTCAATCACCCCAGAGTGCAGGACACATAATAATGGGCTAGACTTACAGGAAGCTAGATTTCACACAAGTACCTTGGGAAGTGGTGAGTGCTCCAATGCTGGAGGCATTCAAGAGAAAATTAGACAACCATCTGTTAGACATACTTTGATAATTGAGCATGGGATTGGACTTGACAGCCTCATGCATCCCTTCCAACTCCATTATTCTAGGACTCCTTAGTTGAAGTCATAACAACCACTTGTACAAAGTCAAGTGATGCCAATGACACCATTCAATGGGATTTCAGGCTATGAGGTTTACTTCTTATTTACATCCTATTTTGCCTTCAAAATATTCAAAGGCATGTACATGGTCTTCCTTCCCATTTTTAAAATTCACAACAACCCTGAGAGACAGTTTTATGTTGAAAGATAATGAATGCTTGGCCCACAATGACTCAGTCAGCTTCAAGGCCAAATTGAGATTTGAGCCTGGATCTCTTCAATGCAAGTTTGCTTAAGCTATATTTACCTTTGCTATTATCATTTTTTAAAAAACCATTTGCCTTTTTAATATATTACAGGCAATTCTAGAAATTTACAAAGCAGTGGAAGTTAAATTATCTTTAAATGCATGCCCCCAGTGAGCCACACTGCTGGAAGGAGTAAGAATATAATTAGGTCATTTGGAAGAACCAAGCAGGATGTCTCAGGAACAAGCTCTGGTGGTAGCTATGAGCAGAAAGAAGAAATGCAGATAGAGCTGAAAAGTAATGGAGATACAGAAGAGAACAGTCACTCCTTTTGGTTACCTTAGTAACCATTACTGGGAACCACAGGTTAGAAGGAACACACTTATTCCTTTTGGCAATCTATGACAGAAGCAAAGGGAAACTTAAACTAGCAATTTCTTAGGAAGAGGGCTCCATCAGAAACTGCATTACAATACAGTTAAAATGCCACTTATAAATGGTTAATACACATGTAGGCATCCTTCAGTCTCGAGAGACTAAGGTAATGAGCTCTGAATAAAGGTATTGGAACAGCATCTAGTGTGGCTGAGAAGGCCAATTCGAGTGACAATCCTTTCCACACTGAGGACAAACACAATCTGTCCCCTGTCCAGCTCCCTGATTTTGCTGGTTTGGGGACTGCCTCTTTGCCTCAGCCTGCTGGACAAATGTCCCTTCAAATTGGGAGAGGCCATGCTGCATCGCCTGCCTCCAGGCTGAACACTCAGATATCAAAGTTTCCCACCTGTTGAGGTCCATTCCTAAGGCCTTCAGATCCCACTTGCAGATATCCTTGTAGCACCGCTGTAGTCTCCCTCTGGGGTGCTTTCCCTGTACTAATTGTCCATACAGGAGATATTTTGGAATCCAACTGTCAGCCATTCTCACAACATGCCCAAGCCAATGTAGACGTTGCTGTTTCAGAAATGTATACATGCTGAAAATTCCAACTCGATCTAGGACTACTCTATTTACAGTATAACTTTGTCCTGCCAGGTGATACCAAAAATGCATTGGAGACAACACATATGGAACGTGTTCAGCTTCCTCTCCTGCCATGCACAAAGGGTCCAGGACTCACTGCAGTACAGGAGTGTGCCCAGGACACAGGCTCTATAGACCTGGATCTTGGTATATGCCGTCAACTTCTTATTCAGCTATATTCTCTTTGTGAGAACACGGTAGCTGATCAACTTCTTATTCAGCTATATTCTCTTTGCCGACTTCCCAATGCGTTTCTCCAGCTCGACATCTAGGGAGAGAGTGTCAGAGATTGTTGAGCCAAGGTACAGAAAATCACAAACAACCTCCAATTCTTGTTTGGAGATGATAATAGAAGGGAGGTTAGTCCACGCCCTGGCCCATGACTTGTGTTTTCTTCAGGCTGATTGTTAGTCCAAAATCTTAGCAGGCCTTACTGAAACGATTCATGAGTTGTTGGAGGTCTTCAGCAGAATGGGCAACAGCTGTATCATTGGTGAAGATGATGTCCTGTATGTATTTCAGCTGGACTTTGGTCTTCACTCTCAATTTAGAGAGATTAGAGAGTTTTCCATCTGATCTAGTCCAGAGATGGACACCTTCCGTTGCAGTTCCAAAAGCGTGCTTCAGCATGACAGCAAAAAATGATCCCAAACCTCTCGGTGCAAGTCGGCGCGAGGACACAGCCCTGTTTCACTCTGCTTTGGATGTCAAAGGGATCTGATATTAAGCCATCAAAAACTACAGTGCCCTTCATTTCCTCATGAAAGGAACTGATCATGTTAAGGAGTCAAGGTGGGCATCCAATCTTGGGAAGTGTTTTAAAAACACTTCCCTGCTAACCAAATCAAAGGCCTTTGTAAGATCTATGAAGGCCACAAAGTTATTACCTATATTTCTCCTGGTGTTGTTCCCTACATTTCTCCTGCAACTGTCTGAGGGAAAATACCATGTCAATGGTAGATCTATTAGCTCAAAATCCACACTGTGTTTCTAGACAGACTCTGATTGATAGCACCTGAAGGCTCTTCAGCACAACATGGGCAAGCAGCTTCTCTACAACGCTTGGAAGAGAGATGCCACTGTAGTTATTGCAGTTGCCCCTGTCACCTTTGTTCTTGTACAATGTGATGATGTTTGCATCCTTCATGTTCTGTGGTACTCCACCTTCCCTCCAGCTAATGCACCTCAGTTGCATATTCAGGCATGGGACCAAGGACCCAACCAAAATATGCACTGGTACCTCACCAATTGGCTGCATCAAATTACATAAAGCTTACATGAACAACAATAGTACTCTGGCCTTCAGTTTTTTAAGACATCACATAAAGACCGCAGGTTGTACCCAATACTGGATTTGCTTTAGCACAGGGATGAGCAATGTTAAAAAGTGTGCGAGAATGCCAGCCCCTTCAATGAGCAAAGGTATGAAAAATCAAGAATGTATGTTGCTGTGCTGTGGGGACAAATTTGCTACCCCTGCATGCCATCCCTAAGGTCGTGTTGTGTATACATACACGGCAGAGCCAGATCTGTTCAAAAAGCATGGTGCCCCCCCCCCGAATAATGTGGCATTAGATCCTCAACAGTGTGCCTTATCCTACACTTTTCAGGATGTTACCTGTTCCTTCAGATATGATTTTCAGGGATACTGGGTTGTGCGCATGGCTGGACTGATACTTTTCTGGCAAGCCACCTTGTGTTGCTTCTGCCAATGATGTCATTTGCCTGCATGTCCCTGTAATTTTTTTTAAAAAAATTAATGAGTGTTGATACGTTGAAAAATGTATGTCATTATTTGCGGATCCTTCCACCGGGTGGTGCTCCTTCCCCCAAGCCTTTTCATGTTTTACTCTTGGGGAACCTCATGGTACAGCTACAATGAAAACAAAGACCAACTACGAGTTTCTCTGCTACAAGAGGCACAAACGCAGCAGAGAAACTCATGTCCATCAAGGAAATGCTGTCGAAACATCAATGTAATGGGGAAAAAATTAAAAGGGAGGGGACAACCCAGAGGGAAATATTCCAGTACTGAAGTGTAGCCGGCCATATCACATCAGATTTAGGGAAATGTTGCAGTAATTAAGAAACACACCAGAATGCACACCCCGGGATATATGTTACGTGACCGCAGCAGCCGACTGCTCAGGGACACGAGAAAACAGGAACATTTCACTGATGTGGCCGCAGCCTAAGAATCCGAACTGTTGAAGTAAGAGGCTGTAGTATTGAAAATGTGTTTATCCCTTCACAGTACAGGAGCCATTGAGACTGAGCAAGGTAGAAACGACACAGCAGACTGCAAGGTGCTCAAGAGATTTCAAAACAGCATGCTGCCCTATTCGGTTCATGACTCTTTAATTCCTCTTTGCTAGATTATGAGATGTCTTGAGCCAACATCTCAAGATATACTGGCTGTGTGCCCAAACCTTCTTTCCTGTCTCTGGCTGAAAAGAATACTGTTTCCCAATTTGCCTTTAAATGCATTTAAATTAAACGGTAAGGCAAAGGAATGTTAATGGCTTCTCACATAATATATTTGGGCA